CAAAGAAAAGCTTTTGCAATAATGGAACTGCCATTGACATTGTTTTATGTCACAGTCGCGCGAGTTTAAACTGCATGGCAAGTATTTTTGCGTTGTTTCAGTTTTCCTGTGAGCTTTCTGGTATGATAATTTTAGAAATAGACTTCCAGGCTTAGGCTTTTATAGCTTTAAAAACTTTCATCTTTTATTTTAATGTTAATTAATAATGTTAAATTATTTATAATTTTAAAACATTAAAAATACAATACAAATAAATTCAAAAAATACATATTTGTGGCATTACAGTACCTAATTTGTACGAAGTGATAATAGTATATTCTGCAGACGTCAACCGAATGAGATCTTGCCTTCGGCTTCGGTGCAAAATTTAATACGAAGCAAAATGTTTGACGCTTCGCGTCTAAAACAATGTGGAACAGGTGATTTCCTATAGTCGAGGACCTGTATATGAGTTTGTATGCATTTCATTTAGGACAGATAATCTCAACTGTTTTAGGGCAAGTTGACCATGACGGTCAACATGGTAACGCTGCCCGAACCCCAATCCAGGACGAAACGTCCGAAACTGACCACACCCAAAAACGACGCTTTCGCCATACTGCTATCTACCAAACCATAAAAGCTTTGGCTATTCTGAAGTGCTTATATGGTTCAGAGATGGTACTTTTTGGGGTGGTCATTGGTAAGTGTGAAATGCCTAGCACTAATATTTCACAAGAAAATGACCATGCAATAATCATAGTTAAACGTCAATTTGTGGCTTACAACTTCAGATAAACAGCAGTGGACTTACATTACCTTTTTCCCTAAATCTTTTTGATAGAAACATAATTGGCACTTATTTAAATATATTATCACTGGTTTGGTGTATATAGTTAACAAACTTAAATTCTCTAAAACTCATTTACTACGCATTGGTCTATCCATATCTAATCTATGGTAACCTCATTTGGGGTAATACGTACAAATCTCGTATTTCAAAGTTAATGAACATTCAAAAAAAAATTGTAAGATTAATGACTTTTAAGAATTATACTAATCACACTGAACCCATTTTTTTAGAATTGCAAATACTTAACATATACATAATAAATGATTATTTAACAAGTATTTTTATGTTCAGGTATTTCAATCTTCAAAATTTACCAGAAACATTCACAAATTATTTTTCTACCAATAAGGAAATCCATAACTATACAATACACGAAACTCATCATTATTACACAAAAAGTGTAGCAGAACAAATTATACAGAACATACTCTAACTAATAAGGGAATTGATATATGGAATAATCTTCCTTCGAAATATAAAGAAAATAGATCGTATGGGTCTTTCAAGAAAACAATGAAAAATTTCTATCTGCATTTAAAAACAACAAATTAACATCCTTTTCACTAGCTGTAAATTAACTATATGTATATATATATATATACTATATTATTCCTTGTCAACATACTTACTTTTCTCCATTTCTATTGTAAAATTTTAAACATAGCTCATCATTATATCTTAGTACTTGTTACTATTCTCCTTTTTTTTCCAATCCTTACTACAATGAAAAACACTCGAACTGGCACCTTATATATAGTTATTTAATTTGAATTTGTATCTAGGGACCTTAAATAAAAGCCTTTTGGTTTCTAGTAGGTTCCTAGCCCTAAAAATTTGTAAATAATGTATTTTGTTAAATGTTATATTTTGGGCGAAATTAAATAAAAAAAAAAATAAAAAAAAATACTGTACCATAAAGTCCCAAATAGCTACAGATAACAGCCAACAACTGACAGACAAAGAAAGCCGTCAACGGCTAAAAATTTCACAATATATGCAGATCAAATAGCTATGATTTCTTAAGTGGCTCCGAATATTTGAAAAACATAGAAAAATAGTAAAGTTAAATGCCATTGAAAATTGAAAATTCGCGTCGCGTTGCCGAATCGCGTCCAGTATGGTCCTTTATGCGACCTGTTAATTGTTATGGACATTTCTCGCCAAGTGACATTCCCCTGATGTATCAAATAAGTTGTTTCGCGTCAATAAAAAAAGGTACGCCATGCGTACACTGTATTTGCGCATAATATCATATAGTAATTAGTTAATAATTTATTTAATATTAGTTGTGGAAAAATTGTATAGAAAAGTTATATTAGTAGTTAATATATAGTAAAAATAGAAAACTAATTTTCCAAAACATATCAATAATCCAGCTATATTACCATGGGCGTACCGGAAGGATACTAAGAGAGATTTTATTGCTTTGACTACTTTTTTGGCTTTTTAATTTCCCACTCTTCGCCCGACTTATGTTGAACATTTGCCCGACTTTTCGACTTTGCAATCTTTTGGGGGGGCAGCTGCCCCCCCCCCTGCCCACCCCCCGTTCCGTATGCCTATGTATATTACTCAAGTTATGAACTACCTGTTCGCAGGTAACCTAAAAGTAAGACAAGAAATCCGTGTCGTATTACTTTGCTTTGCGAAAGGCGCTAATGATCCTAGCGTTCCTGATTGCGATGATAGTCAAGTAGAATTCAACATCGATTTGACATAATATATATTCATACATGTTATGACAATATGTTCCAAGACTCATTTGCTATTTACGTCACAAATATGTGTACTTGAGATCTTATGGGAAGATTGCCAAAATATATATTTGGTCTGAACAAAGTATTTTGGTCTGTCCGTGGCAGTTGTAGGTAGTACCAATAATATGAACAAGCTTTCTTCGGTAGGGATTACAAAATTGGTGTCGAAAATAGTGGAAGGGGGGAGGACTCCCCATTGCCCCCAGTGGCTACGCCTAGCTCTGCACGCGAAAATGCTAAATTTGGGTTAAATGTTGAGATGGGAGGAAGTGCATATAAAATGATCATTGGTATGGTACCGAAAGACTAATGTAAATACCCCCCAGAAGCATGCTTAAATTATGAGTCCATGCAATGGTCTCGGAGCGTTTTGGTATAAGTGTATAATCTGCTCTACATTCTTACCGATATATTTGTGTTGCTACTCACCAGTAATGTTTTCATTTTAGTTCAAACGTATAGCTGTATTAAAAAAATAAATCAAACTTACCCAACAATGACTTGTGATTCTCGAACTAAACTAAAACTTGTCTCGTCCTCTCCTTCGTCTTGTCCGCGTGATACTGTAAGCGCAACCTGCATACTAGCCTCCTGCGCAAACGTTGTTAGTGGCCCGAGGCCTCACCTAACGTCTGCTCACATTCGCTATACATTTGACTTCCCGGCAATTAACCAATCACAATCATGTACACGATAATTGGAAGATCGGCCTTCAATGACCTTCACACGCATGGGCTATATCAACAAGTCTGTAGTATTTTTAAATTTGAAAGTTTTAACACTGCGCATTAGAAAAAGGCTTTTCAGTCTATTATAAACGAAAAGGATGTTTTCGTAAATCTCACAACTGACGCAGGAAATCACTTATTTATCACGCCGTTACCGAAGCTATTCGATGTAATATTCGGATTTAAATATTTAAACAAATTGTAAACATTGTAAACATTTAGTAATCGTGATTTCGTCATTGATAAATTCAATACGATCGTGATCAAGTAAAAAAATTACACGATCTAGGAGTCGGTGCTGTGTCATTATGAAGTTTAATCGAGAGCGATAAAGAAGCGAAGACATTGGAAGATGGGAAATATTCTGACTGTATTATATGGCACAGCAGAGTCATTGCTGAAGACAAAGACAAAGTGTATGGCAGAACGGTTTGTGCTTTGGCTATTGATGCATGAAGCTCATTTCAGTATGTATTATAATAAATCCTAAACATGTGTTTGCATTTGCAATTCTCAAAGCCACAGCAATCGATCGGCTTTGACCATTTTAATTAATAGTCGTTATTTTATATTGTCTTGATTTATACGTTGCCTCGTATTATCTATTGCACGTAGCACCAGCAAGTTTATGAGCCATTCTAGTTAATATACATGCCCCAACCCTCTGATGTAAACCCTTCATAATTGCCCTCATATAAACTTGCATGCTAGTACTACATGCAAATAGATAATACGAGGCAATGTATAAAAAGACAAATTCAATTTAAATAAACAATATAAAATATTAATGAATAATGACTATTAAAATGGCCAAGCCCGATCGATTCCTGTGTCTTTGGGAATTAAAAAAGCGAACACATTTTTAGGATTTATTATAATACATAAAATTCTTTAATCGCATGAGCTTCATGCATCAACAGCCAAAGCACAAACCATTTTGCTATACGTACAATTTGTTGAAGCATTCGTTTCCATCGTTCGGTCTTCAACAATGACTCTGCATATAATACAGTCAGAATATTTCCATTCTTCCAATGCCTTCGCTTCTTTATCGCTCGCGATTCAACTTAATAATGACACAGCACTGACTCCTAGATCGTGTAGTTTTTTGACTTGATCTCGTATTGAATTTATCAACCGAAACCACGATTACTAAATGTTTACAATGTTTACAATTTGTTTAAATATTTAAATCCGAATATTACATGGAATAGCTTCGGTAACGGCGTGATAAATAAGGGATTTCCTGCGTCAGTTGTAAGATTTACGACAACATCCTTTTCGTTTATAATAGACTGAAAAGCCTTTTTCTAATGCGCAGTGTTAAAACTTTCAAATTTAAAAATACTACAGACTTGTTGATATAACCCATGCGTGTGAAGGTCATTGAAGGCCGATCTTCCAATTATCGTGTAGATGATTGTGATTGGTTAATTGCCGGGAAGTCAAATGTATAGCGAATGTGAGCAGACGTTAGGTGAGGCCTCGGGCCACTAACAACGTCTGCGCAGGAGGCTACCTGCATACACAATCTTTGCCAAAAATTATGAGACATTTGCTGTAATTTACCACAATTAGCCATTCCGAAGTTGATGAGTGGACTGGGGACGAGTGTTAAAACGTGCCCAAATTCATCCTCGGTCCCAGGGCCTCACGGCTGACACTGCGTTGCCGGAGGCCCTGGCGAAAACCAAAACCGGAACTTCAAAAATCTTGTAGTTTGCCGGAAGTAAACTTAATAAAAATGCTGACTCTGCATCTTTTTTTGCAAGGAGTGAACTTTAAGAATTTCTCGAAAGAAATAATGTTTTACATGCAAGATAAACATTAATTCGTTCTGGTTATTTCACCATTAAATGTTTTAATGATTGACCAAATCAGAAAACTAAAGGATCATCTAAATGTTTCAATTATGAAAGCTGTTCAAGTTGATGAATCGAAGGATACAAATATGTGTAGTTTGGGAGAGTCATTGTATACGGACAGCAATCAATTTGAATTTTTATTATAATCGACGAAATATACAGACAATTTAAAAGCGATTGTTGTGGACGAAGCCCAATCTTATTAGTGAATGGTGAGTGAGTGATACTGATATATTTGGTTGTTTCTCAATATTCTTTCTTTGCTATATTAATGGTTATCTGCAAGTCTGTACACATACAGACAACATATATTCTGTTTAATACGTCCGGTCTAAACGCTGCATTTTACATGTGCCAAGTCTAGAAAAGTTTGTTCAACCTTTTAAGTGCCACCAAATTATTTTACTTAGCTTAACATGCCAGATGATTGATTGTACTGGTCAATGTGAAAGTGCTACTGCTCAATGATGGGTTAATCAGATTATCTATTGTACTTTACTATCTTACTGTCTAATGTCAGACAATTTTGCTCATCAAGGGGAGAGTGGGTATTATTGCAAAGTAATTACTTTGCCACTTTGGACAAATGTATAAGTTACATATGTTTACTATGTACCGGTATGTACATAAATTCAACATTTAAATCAAAATGTCAAACTTTATTATTTGAATCAAACTTTATTATTTGAGTCAAACCATGTAAATTCACATTAGATTTGGCACATGTAAAATGCGGCATTTAGACAGAGACAATGAGCATAAAAACTTGAAATATTATGTGCATCCCACCCACCACCCTTGCCTCCCCCCCCCCCACCTTAATCTTGGTATCCCCAGATAACGATTGTTTGTAGGATATACAACTACCTGTAAGGTATGGTGTGACTGCATACTACAAGCTAGTATCATATTCAGTTTAATACATATATATGACTTGAAATATGTATTTTCTTGCCAGCCATTTTCAATCATAAAATTATCCATGTTGCTGTTAAATTATGATTGGCCTAAAATTTTTGGCTAAAGATTGTTTTAATTTATAAACATTGTACTACTACTTTAGGAAGAATTTCAGGCCTTGCTATGAAAGGATTGGTATATCGGGAAGTTTGTTTCTTCATCAACTCAGAGAAAGAAGTTGCATCAACTCAGAGAAAGAAAGAAATTTCATCAACTCAGAGAAAGAAAGAAATTACATGAACAAAATAAACAATTTTGTGTCATTGATATAAATAATGATTTATTCTTACAATTTCCTCTATGAAAATTTGGTGTGTTAATAAAGATACTGTAAAAAATAAATAACAGCTTTATGGTGCATCCATGCTGTGTTTTAATTTGCAGTGGTGTAGGAAATGGAGGTGTGTGGGTACCAGTGTGCTTGTGTGTGGAGGCCAGATGCTCAGGAGTTCCCCGACAAGAAATATCAAGTCCCCGACAAGGAATATCAGGTTCCCTGACAAGGAATATCAGGTTCCCAACAGGGGGCTATAATCTTTCAAACAGTAAAATTATTGTTTTGTATGTTCAACTTATGCTCACACATGAAAATGTTGGCTCTCATGAAATGGTGCAGAATTTATTGTCTGTAACAGTGCATTTACAAGCACTACAAAACAAGGTCATTACAAAACATAATTTTTCCCAGTACAAAGCAAAGTTGCAGTATTACTATTAAACAATATAATTTGTCAACTGTAAAAAAACATTGATAGCCTATAAATTAAGCTATATATTGCATGAAATTTAAGGCAAAACAAGGTGGAGAACTAACATTTCCAGCTATTATATTATCACTTTGTCATTATTAAATAGTATTAAAATACAATATGTCATTATTAAATACATTTAGTATAAAATACAATATTTTTACATAAATTAAGAGCCTTTGATGAAATTGATATAAAATCAATAAAGTAAGTCTATTAAATATAGTATATTATAAAATAATTTATATTTTATAATATACTATATTAATATAATATTATGTATGGCATGGACCCCTCTTGGATTGAACAACCACACAGACACTCATTCACGATCAGGATTTTCTCATTTGTAATTGAAAGATGCAAGACATCACTCACAATTTTTGTAGATTTGTACAATTATAAACGGTACAGTCTCTCGCATAGCCTTTCGCCTGTCTTTGTTTATACTCTGTATATAATTAAATCTCGTATATAAAATGTCCCTTCGGCTTCGGCGATTTCAATCTTTAAATAATCCAATGTCCAATTTTGTGCAGCTTTTTAATACATTGTGACACAACATCCAACATCTTTTATATTAAAAATAAAATTTCCATTGATAGACAGCAGATTTCAACGACCAAAACGACTCTTCGTTTCCTATGAAGAGTTAATACACTCCTATCTACTCCTATAGTCAGCCATATTTATTAGTAAAAGTTCGTGTTCAATTTCCGCATTCCATTGTTTTCATGCGACCAATCAAATCACTTCTCGTTTTGGTTTTCGCCAGGGCCTCCGGCAACGCAGTGTCAGCCGTGAGGCCCTGGGACCGAGGATGGCCCAAATTAAGAAATGAACCAAATAACTAAAAAGACCACCTCAAAATTAGTAAGTATGCAAAGTTTGAAGACGTTTACATGAATAACCTTCGAATAATAAGCTTTCGAAAATTTTGAAATTGCTGATTAATTAATTAAAAGATTGTTTTTGGGACGCGCGTCCCAAAAACGAAAATTACAATACATTTCATAGTAAATATCGCGGTTTCGAAAGCTTATTATTCGAAGGCTATTCATGTAAACGTCTTCATACTTTGTATACTTACTAATTTTGAGGTGGTCTTTTTAGTGATTTGGTCGTTCTCGTATCCAGAGCCCTTCTTACGCGCGTTCGACCGAGCCCGACGAGGGGCTCTGGCCAAATCCATAACCGGATACCATGAAAACATGGTATCCGGTTAAACACTGCGCATGCTCGACGTCAAACGCGGATAAACACTTCGGTTTTCTTGTTTGTTTCATTTTGAAAGTTTTTCGCCAAGAAAACCCCACAAAAGCGGTAGGTTTCGCTAATTTTATTTATTTAAATTAATTAGTAGGTAAGACTTGTTGTTCTCAATGCATGTTGATAAAAATTTAGTATATATTTCCCTCTTAAACGTTGCCAAAGCAGTATAAATGGCTACGGATACGAAGACGAGACTCACGAGAGATTGTCTCACTATTTTATATTCGATTTTAAGTCGCTGTTGTACAGATTTTTAGACTTTTTTGTGTTTTATTAAAAGTCAACAGTCATACATAAGACATACTATACTGCAAATTATTTGAAAATTGTAAAAAATCGGTTTCTAGGAAGAAAATAGTCATCACAATTAACTTCATATTCTGGGTAGCTTGAATATTTTCTCTTCAGATGGCACGTCAGCTTTGAACATGTAACACAGATTTGTTTGTCAATGATTAACATCACTGATTTGGAAATACGACGAGCATCTGCCATAAAATATGCTGACTTTTTGCTATGAGAACATCACGTCTCAACCTATTAATTTCAATCAACTAATTGATTTAAATAAATAAAATTAGCGACATCTACCGCTTTTGTGGGCGATTATCAACAACAATGTTCCTAACTGCTTCGTACTGCTGTTCTTTTAACTTTAATAATGTCTTTTCTCCCAATTTTCTCCAAACGAAACCAACGCTTCATGGAGCGCTTGATTTTTATTCATATTTTATACAATAAACCATAATTTAGTTGTGGCCAATCAGAAGCCAGTTTGATATGGATTTGGCCAGAGCGGCTCGTCGGGCTCGGTCGAACGCGCGTAAGAAGGGCTCTGGGTACGAGAATGTGATTTGGTTCATTTCTTAATATGGGCACTTTACACACTCGTCTCCAGTCCACTCATCAACTTCGGAATGGCTAATTGGAAAGGTGTATCGTCCCCATACCATCCTTTATCCCAATTCAAAGTTGGGCCCAGAAAAATCTCATGCCTAGTTGCCAGACTCCAACATTGAAACAGGGTGGGGAGGGGGAAATAAATGTTTTAACAAATATCGTGATTTATCTGAGTGCATGTAAAAACAAGATTTTTCCAATGTGTATTGTCAACGATTGTAGGTGTTTGGGCCGGGCGGTTGGCAGCCGTGAATGAAATATTGGGATTTGGAATATGGTTGTTATTCAATATCCATCGTAGTGATATAATATAATGCAATAGACGCCCTTATTTTTAATAAATTTCCCCTCTACATCTACAGAAAATGTTCAAAACATGTTCAGATTTTGAAACACAATATATTGTGATGAATTCAAACAAATATATTTACAAGTTTAAGACATGCGCTACTGCTACAAATTCTATACAATATGCTACAATTAGGCATTCAAACTGATTAACTAGATTCTGTTCATATAATACTTTTTGTTTTGTGGAAACATCACGTAAATTTATTACTGGAAATAGATTTAGATAGATTCTGTTCATCATTTTTGATTTATAGATAGATTTTGTTCTTTAGATTGCAGTATGTTCATTGTAAGGTTTAATATATAGTTCATTATCATAGAACACGCTGGATTTTGAGCTTCAAACATCCAGGGTGCGATAATTCGCGTACCAACGTACCGGAGGTACGCCAAATTTATGGTCTGGTACTTCTTTGTTTTTAGGCAAGTACCACGTAGGTACGCAGAAATTTGCTATTCGCGTACTTACATTTTCCTTCTAGCAATAACTAGCAGACCTGCCAAAGTATTCAAAACCGTGAAGAACTTTATCTGTACATTTTTTCGCGATATGAAACCGGAACCACAGTCACAGGTATTTTTAGGCCCAATGAGGAAAACTACACTGTATGTAGCTGAGGTCAGACTGTTAGCACCCTCGGTAAATCCACTGTAAATGAGTCGCAACGTCTAGTCACAACGTCGACGCTTTGAAAACTGTTATATTATGTTGTGCAAATACCATATTTAAAGATTCATTTGTACAAAATTGCCCATACATTTTTTGCTTTTGTACCAGTAAACTATACGTAGGTATAAAAACGCATGACTCGGAAGTAATAGTCTTAGGTACGGCTTGACTCTTAAGTTTGTACCAGACCAGGTACGCGGCAAAAGTTGTCGGAGTACCAGTTAGGTACGGCTAAAAGTATTGAATTATCGCACCCTGAAACATCCCATTGTCATGCTAAATGTCTTTAACTTGGCGTGCTCTCATGCAAGCTCTTAATGATCTATTTGACTATATTTACTACTTGCTATCATTACCTTTCCAAATATGCGTGCTGTGTAGATTTGAGTATAACCACTTGTAGGAGACGACAAATTTGAATAAAAATATAACACGAAATAAAGTCTGAAAAAGAACCATTTTAGTCCATTGTATATGGATTAAAACATGATCTGACACAAGACACCAGACTGTCTGGCGGACTTTGCCTCGCCTTATAAGAAGAGTAAATGTTTTTATTTTTTGGCCTTGAATTTTTTTTATTTTTCTGGCCGTGAAAATCGACCAATCATACTCTTGCATGATAGGCTTTCACATTAGTCCAAAAAAGATGACAGTTAGCCTATTTACATTTTGTTTTTCTAATCCATCAACATATTTATGACAAGCTTCTTCCACATTTCCTGTCTAAAAACCACGATCCTTCAGTATAGCTTTCAATTTTTTCAATTAAATATTTTTTTTATTAAATTTTTGTCTCTGCATTTCAGGTGGTTTTGCACGTCAACTAAACTGCAAAACGTACTGTTTATAGTTTGAACAAACCTTAAATTCTGGACTTTTAGTCTGCTAATTTCGTCCTATCTGTAGTATCAAAACTCGCATGTATTTTTCCTTAATATCATGACTATTTCACGGCCTCTTTTGAAATTAACATAGAGAGGTTAAGATACTCCGGTCCTAGTTTACGGGTACAGGTGATATACACGTAGCCGTACCCGTAAATCGAGGAATGACTTGTAACTTAAGAAATCCAAGATGCTCTGGCGTGAGAAAACCGATCAGAGAAATGGTAACTTTCGCTGTTGAGGTTCCCCACAGATTTTTAAAAACTTTGACAAGCATGCATATGTGCATTATTTATTTGGGCAAGATGTCGAAAATTTTTACTATTTAAACGGCCCACAGATAGTGAACAGAAAACACCCGTACCCTTTTGTCTTTTACGTGTAGACCATGGTTTTTAAACTTTCGTTTGTTCTCACACCAATAAAATCCCTATGTAAGTTTGTATAAACAGTATAGTCATATGGAGTGAGGTATTGATTGGGACGTAAGTCCTGTTCCACATTCCAGTCACGTGTGTTGTCTTGTAACATGTTATATTATATATACCGTTTATCAGTGTCTTTGTAAATATTGTGACAAATTTTATAATAATAATAAAATGGTTTAGCGCGGAGAAATGGGTAGAAATTACGACTAGAAATGCTGACATCAGCAAAAATTGGTAAACAAAATGGTGATACTCGTACCCGTAAACCGGAACCAGGGTATCTTAACCTCTCTAATATTTCTTAAGATCGCCGGCTATGTAATTCAAATGAACTCAGTTGTCAGTTCAATGTAAGTGACTGAGTATTTTTGGTCAACAAATTACAATTACTGTTTTTTATACTGATGTTGTCAAGAATTTGAGGAAATTCTCGAGGAAATCTTTGCAAAAAATAGGGCAAAAGTACCCACGGGTGCGTTTTTGCAGTACTGGATCGAGTTAGCCAATCCAAAACGTTATTATAATGTACTGCACTATAAAAAAATTCTGTCCGTAGTAGAAGCTTTTATTTAAGTGATTTCCTTTAGAAGTTAGTCCACTAGGTTCCACCCCACCATCTTTCCCATCGATTTCCTCATCTATTCGTGGTCTTACACTACCATGTATATCAACACAGTGGTTGTGGTATGTCTTCAAGTATTTACACGGATTGAGAAGTCTCCTTTTCATCTTGTTCCTTAATACCCAAATCAGTTTGTTTTCCGCCCCAAGGACATTCATATCATAATCCAACTCTGCCAGAACAGACTCGTCTAAAGGTTGTGTAAGCATAAAAATGTACGCATCGTGTGAACCGAAATAGCTTACTCCACAATATCCAAGTTTTCCACCCATATTGCATCTTTTTTCCTGACGTCCATGGCGTGTCAAGACGTAAGATGTATTATATTCTGCTAGAAATGTTTTATTTATCATTTCAAATCCTTCGCCAATGTAAATATCCATGTTCATCATAACTACAAGTTGATTTTGGAGTCTGTCGTTTACGTAATCGAAGAAATCTCTGTATTTCGGCAAGGCGTTGATGCGATGTACAAATATTTTGTGTTTGTTGTGAAAATGTTGTTCGCCCAATCTTTGTTCGGCTAATGGCTGATTAACGAGAAGATGAACAGCTGTGACTAAAGTGTGGTTGAGATTTTTCTGTAATGTTTCTTCTAGTTCTTCCTGTCGTTGCCATAGTCTGGATATGTTGGTTTCTGTTTGGCCTTCGTTCCAGGGTTTTTCACTCATCAGCGGATAGTTAGTGAGTACATGGATACGTAATTCCTCCTTCTGAAGTGTTTGCTCTTCGTTCGAAGATTTTTCATTTATCGGTGGAGAGTTAGTTGTCACATGGATATGTGATTCGTCCTTCTGAATTGGGAAGTCATAACGGTTTTTCAAAACAGCTTTTGGCCAGATAAAGCCGTATATGGTAAGAATCGCTCCAGAAACAAATATAAACTTGAGGTACGCTCTCCGTTTGAACATGACCATTCCTTTCAAGATTCAGGATAATTACTAGGGATTTATCTATTTGAAGACGACACGTCTTGGTTTTATTTACCAAATGAAGACTTATGATCCGTTTCTTCAAGATCGATTTTTCACATCAGCCTAAATATAGATTATGAATTTTTTAACACAAATTAAAAATCTCATTAATAATTCACGAGGAAAATACAAAAGAAATTAATGTTTAATCAATGTTTGTAAATCGGATAAAGATTTGTTCTGATTTACATAAACTTCAGCTTTGATATTCTCGGCTTAGACAATGTTTATTTTTAAAATTACTTCGCCAATGAACTCATAAGATGGGTCGTTTTTAAGCACCTTAAATCCTTCGCATCCGATCTTTATCTGATATACAAACTCTCGCCTTCGGCGCGAGTTTGTATATCAGATAAAGATCGGCCGCTCATGTTTCAACTAGTACTTAAATGTTAATCTTCTAAATATTTTAATCTTTAACATGCGACTAAGCCCAAATACAAAATTTTGGTATGTAATACTTTCTTCATTTTAAGAAGAAATGTAATATATCTTTATAGTAAGAATCTTCAGCTTGATCAACTTTTTCACCGTCAAAGTTTCCGGATATGATGTCATTAGGTGATTTTTTGGTACAAAAAAAACAAGGAAAACTATATTGCAATTCAGCTAGTGACATCATATCCGCAAATTTTGCCAGTGAAAAAAGTTGATCAAGATTACACATACCAAAAATCATATTTGTGGTTAGTCGCACATTAACTTAACATCCAATTATGCTTGTCCAACGAGATGTCCGCTAAACTACAAATTCCGCGAACAGTTAAATCCGGTGTTAGCAACATTGCAATATTGCAATGTTGATTGGCAAATTGCTCGAGCAGACAGAAGCCGCAGAACCCACTGAAAACACCACGTAACCCTACTAAATACAGTCCAAGAAGTTTTGCTCGAGTATTAGATAAGATAAGATAAAGATTTATTAGCCACCAATACCATTTACAATATTTCAGATTTCTAATATACTGTTACTGTTTATATAATGGTAATTTATGTTGTTATATTTACAGTGGTTATATTAGTGGCAAGGAGTTATCCAGAAACCATAAGGCTTATAAATTGGATATCTCCTTGAAGCTTTTCAAAGTATATATATCAAAAGTATTTTGTTAAAACAATTGCGACAGCTAGTGAACACAGTTATATGGCTTAACATTGAAGTAAATATTTTCGTATTCTATTCCTGAAGTAATTTAACGTCCCTGCATTCTTAACGGTGTCAGGGAGCGAATTCCACAGTTTTGGACCTCGTGAAAGCATAGTAAATTGTTTTATATTAGTTCTACATGCATGTGAACGATATGTGTCAGCGTTTCTAGTATTATAATTATGAAACTGGTTGCTGGTGCTAAATAAGTTAAGAAAGGGGGGTGGAAGTAATTTGTTATGGTAGGAATACATGAATATACCTGTACAAAAGGAATTAATCTTATTGATATCAAGTATTTTCAATTTTTTAAAAAGCGGAGCAGTATGAGCCAAAAAGCTCGAACTAGTCAATAATCTAACTATTCGCTTTTGTAGAATTTGTAACCGTTTTAAGTTAGAAACATATGTAGACGACCATATTGTGTTGCAGTAGATAAGATATGGATAGATTAAGGTATAATATAACGACAATTTAGTACTTTTCGACAAGTTGAAACGAGCTCTGTATATTACACCGATAGACTTCGAAACTTTTTTGCATACGTAATTTATATGAGGTTTCCATGAGAGATTTTCATCTAAAAGGACCCCAAGAAATTTGATCTGTTTCTTTTGTGTGATTAATCTATCATCAAGAAGAAGGAGAATTTCATACGTGGATTTCTTTTGGGTTGGTTGGAAAATGATGTAGTTGGTTTTATCAATATTGACAGAGAGTTTGTTAGCTTTCATCCATGTACTAATATTTAGTAATGCCTCATTTAATACTGTAGCTAATACTATGGGATCGGAGCTAGCATAACAAATGCTGGTGTCATCTGCAAATAATAGTGGTTTGACTAAATGTGAGGCGTTTGGAAGATCATTAATATAAAGGATGAAAAAGAGTGGGCCCAATATTGACCCTTGGGGTACACCACATTGTATGGCTATTCGAGCAGAAGAAAATTTGTTATATTGAACAAATTGTGTTCGGTTATTGAAATAGCTCTTTAACCAATTTAATGCCACTCCACGAATCCCATACCTCTCAAGCTTAGAAAATAGTATATCATGGTTTAAGGTATCAAATGCTTTAGACAGATCTAAGAAAACACTTGCTGTTATTTCTTTTTGATCAATAGCAGTTGCAATTTTATTGATCAAGTGAGTAAGAGCAAGATTGGTTGAGTGGTTAGTTTGAAAACCAAACTGGTGGCAGTAATAAATTTCAAGTTTATTAGTAAATTCTACCAAACGATTATACATGACCCTTTCATAGATTTTTGAAAAACTAGACAAAATTGAAATTGGTCTGTAATTTGTGAATGTATCTACCTCACCAGCTTTATAAATAGGAATTATTTAGCTACTTTTAACTTATCTGGGAATAACCCTGCCTCAAGTGAAGAATTAATTACCAGCATTAATGGTTCAGATATTAATTCAAACGATTTTTTTATGATATGTATAGGTAGGTTGTCGTAGCCAGGTGCTTTTCCATTTTTAAACGACATACATATCTCTCTCAGTTCATTAACAGTTGTAGGTTTAAGGAATATGGTTTCACTAATAGTAGGACCTAAAAACTCATGAAATGAACGATTTGTTTGGGGAATCTTACGCGCAAGGGATGGGCCAATTTCAGAAAAATATTTACAAAAATCATTGGCAATTTTAGAGGGTTCATTGATAGTCATGTTATTTGATCGAAGTATTGGCATGCATGTGCTTTAACTATAGTTTGACACTATGACATTGATGAGTGCAATTAGATTAGACAATGTGATGTTGTCAGGTTAATTACCATTCGGCGGGGAACTCGACTTATTTTATTTTTTATAGTAGTACATCAGCTTCAGTCTCCCACAATTTTTACACTGCGCGCGATTGCATGGTATGTCAATCTCAGTTTGCATGCATTGTTTTTTTCAAAACAAATTCATAAAAAAAACCCAATAAATTTGCATAACGAAGTATGCTTGGTAACTGCCTAAGAAATATTACAGATAAAAAGTAGGAGAAAAATACCTTTCAATAACCAAAATAAGTCGTTTAATTGAAGCGAGTTCTTCGAAAAACGAAAATGTTTTGCTGTTTGACCAAATAAACTAAAAAAGAACTTAAGAAAAGATTTTTCCCTTCCACTTTTTTTCTGTAATCTTTCTTAGGAAATTACAAAGGACAGCATACTTCGTTATGCATAAATTCGTTTTTGAAAACAACCCACAATAAACTGACCCCGCAGTAAAAAAAGTTTGCGGGACTGAAACTGACGTACTATATGGCGTAGAGATGGCATGGAGGGCTGACCATGGAGATTATAAATAACGCTGGAGGAAGCATCGAGTTTAAAAATCGGGAACGCAAGTAATGGGGGGCAAATTCAAGTCCCGGATATAAAATCATGCTCTCATTGGCTGATTTGAAACTCGTCACCAGTGGGAACACGAATACACATCCGGGACTTGAATTTGCCCCCCAATAGTCGCGTTCCCTTTTTTACTGAATTTAAGATTACAATGCCTCCTCTAGTGTTATTTATAATCTCTATGCCTATGGGGCTGACGCCATTCTGATACGTTGCTCACGCGAGGCTTAATTCACTTTTTTACTCCGTGTTATTGTTCCAGATAAAGTAAAATAAATTGAGTTCACTGCCTTTGTACAACACCTTTAGACTGTTACCTTCGTGCTTTTATTTTATTTCAATATTTTATTATTAATGATAATAAATCATAAGCTTATTGGCAAATCATGTCAACCATTATATGTCATGTGAAGAGGCTTTATACCTGATAAATCTCATCTTCATTAGTATTCTTTAAATAAAAGTCCATCCTAATTAGTATATATAAAGTACACACGTATTTTATCATATCTAGTCGTATTTTATCATATCTAAAGTGCTCGTGCTGCGCACTCGCATTTTAAATGTGATGAAACACTTCTACGCGTGTTTTGAATAGTACTTAATAGCTTTAATTTGGCACGTAGATAACTTGACAATATTGTACAAAACTTTGATAGTGTAGATAGATAATTACAATCATGCAACACAAATATGGAGAATAGTAGCTATAGGATGTGCAAAACGTGGCAGAACACTGAATTATGAATGAGAATAGGTCACATGATAGTATAGACCGCGAGCAGTCCCTCGGGAGAAAGGAGGGACTGCCAATAACATATCAAGAAACGAAATATGCGTTGCCCACACAACGCAAAATTCCCATTGGTCGAAATCGATGTGCCATTCAATTAAATCTGATATGTAGTAATTATGCTATAAATAATTTCCAGACTGAATGTTGATTTTATATTGATTTTATTGGATACATTTAGCTAATTGGATATCAGTAATAGTTATGCAAAGGCGGAGCAACGACAAGAGCGAAAAGTGAGCGTATTTCGTTTCTTGATCTGTTGTCGGCAGTCCCTCCTTTCCCCTCGCACGCCCGGGAACTGCGGGAAGTTAGACCTGTGGAAAGCGCTCGCAATCTAATGATAGACGTATAGAAGAGCAAGAAAAATATAGAATAGGAGAATGGAAGGTGAATGGAAAACTGGAAGCACAGAAGAGAGATTATAGTAGTAAGATGAATGACTTGGAAGATATTACTTAGTCATGATTAATGAGCGTGAGTTTATAGGTAAATCAGAAGTTTAGGCAGTAGCATTCAGAACACGAAATATTACGAGGGATTTTCTATTTAACAAAAAATCTAGAGAAAAGTGAGTTTTTTCGATAAATAAATATTATCAAGGAATGGTTTCTACAAGAACAAGAAATCCATTTCTTACTTCTAAATTATCCGGAAAAATTCAAACAAATACCAAATACCACGAGAAATGTCATTTAAAAATGACATATGAATATCATGCGCAATGATAGCTGGGGATTAAAATGAAAAATTTCGGTACTATATACATTTC